AAAATTAGAAAATTATGATTGAGATATTAGAACTCCCACAAAGCTTGTGGATTAGAAACTCCATTTTCCTTATATAACACTAGCGGTAACTCGTGCGATGCACGGAAAAATAATTAAGTTAGCTGGCGGATGTGTGTTAACAATAATTAACCCATAAAATTTCACAATAAAATTTGATATGCATAAAAAATTATTAACTATAAAAATTGTTGAGAATAATATTATTACAATTACTTTATAACATAAATAACTTGTATCAAACTAAACAAAACATTGAAAGAGATAAATTCTATAAACTCAAAAAAGTTATCATAAATTTACTTAGACTTTTAAATTAGTGGTCTATATTATTATTGTGGGATCAAATTATGAATCAACTTTTAATTATAATTTATAAGTAGTTTTTTAAAAAATTTAATCTAAATTTGTTGCCTTGCTCATAAAAAGAACTTCTCAAACAAATCAATATGTTAGCAACTCACTATCTTTGATTTCCTCTATTAATGACATATGCATATCATATTAAGGTACTAGTGTATGCCCGTGCCTGAAGGCACGATGTAAATAATGTTAGAATTAGAATATAATTGTAATCTCAATACTATTTAAATTTATTTTTTAATTTGATAAAATCACAAATTTATTATAAAATTTTGAAATTCTCACAAAACTCCTCACGAAAACTCGCTTTTGTTTATATAATATATAGTTAGATAGATAGATGTTCCCAACATATATACAATTTTCACGGGAAAACATACAATACTGCTTTTGTTTATAAAATTATATGAAAATTGTATGTATGTCCGTAATGTCCTTGTATGAAAATATGTGTAAAATATATTGAACAAAAATGAGAAAATAAAAAAAAAACAAATAAAGAGAAAGAAAAACAGGATAAAATAAAAAAATAAAAATAAAAGAGAAAGGAAGGTGAGATCATGGAATGATGGGTGAGAAAAATAAAAGGTAAGAGAGAGAGAAGCGGGAAAGTAGAAAATGTATATATAAAACATTTTTTGAAAAATATATCTCAACCATTATTTTATAATCTGAACAGATTTGAGTGATCCAAATGTCCCAATAGGACAAAAATATGTTGAAGATTAAAAAACTGTCATACTTTATTAAAATATGTTGAAGATTCATATGAGATCTAAATTTATAAAGTTTATCAGGTATTCAATATATTTAAAAATAATAATTAATTGTTCAAATTTATTTAATTTGTGGATTATAAAATTCATTAATTTAATCTTCACTACACACAGTAAAATCTGTCTCCTTATTCTGGGATCGCAAACTTTTTCATATAATATGAATAAAAATAAGTGAACAAAAAAGAGAAAATAAAATAGAGAGAAAAATAAAAATAAGAGAAAATAAAAAAAATAAAAAGAAAATGGAGGGGAAGGTGGGATCATAGGATCATAGAAGGATGGGTGAGAAAAGGAAAAAGTAAGAGAGAGAAGCGAGAAAATAGAAAATGTCCCTGTAAGATATTTTTTGGAAAATACGTCTCAGCCGTTGTTTCATAATTTGAATAGATCTGAGCCGTCCAAATGTCTTAGTAGGACAAATGTGTGTAGGACAAATTCAAAAATCATTCTGCTTTATTATATAGATAAGTCCTTCTCCACAGTTTGAATAATATTTGCATAGTTCCTACATCATTTTAAAAAAAATAATTAAGATAAGAATTTCATAGGATTATAAAAATTATATAAGAAAATAGTTTTAATCCATTTTATTTATAAAAAAAAAATGATGAAAAATTATTGAATTTTATTTGAAGAAATATAACAAATGATAGCTTTAATCATTATATACCAAAAAAAAAAATTATATAGGTTACTCAATGAAAAAATGGTCAAATACAAATAAAGTCATGGACATTGAATTAAATCATATAGGTTCTAAATTGATAATATAATCTAGCAAATCAACTAATAAGAACATAGAGATATTGACAAATATGTAGTACTTTCACATCATTTTTGTATTATATTCATTAATTTCATATATCATATCAAAGTTTTACTTGTTTTGATCCTTCAAAAAAACAAGGACCAAGAAAACAAATTTATAAGAAATTAATTCTAAACTTTATTATTAAAAAAACAAAAATTTCAAAAGAATGGGATTGAAAAAATATTATAACCAACGATAGCCTTATAAAAAATAGTTAAATAAAAATAAAAATTATCTAATACAAACTATTTTTAATAACTAATAGAAAGATTATCAAATTATTACCTTTGATAAATATAGTGACGAAAATTAATTTTGTGAGATTTTTGTGCTGCTTTCTACTATGTAACCTAACCAATTTCATTATTAATACTCTTTTCATTCAGAGCCAATATATATATTTATATATATATATATTTTTATCTTTATCATTTGGTAGATAATAATGAATAATAAAAATTATCAAGAGAAAGTTAAGAATTTATTAGGAGATAAGAAGTTATAGATAAGGGTATTTCATAAGATAAAAAATTTAAAATAAAAAAATATAATATGTGATAGGAGGAGAAAAAAAATAGGAAAAAGATTGGTAGCTCGAATCTGTGGCTCGAAAAATGGCTCGAATTCGAAGACAGAGACAGAGAGAAAGGAGAAAAGAGGAAGTGGAAAGAGGGAGAGAAGAGAGGAAGAAAAGAGGAGAAGAGAAAGAGGAGGAGAGAGGGAGAAAGAGAGAGAGGAGGAGAGGAGATCACCACCGCCGTCGCCTCGTCGCCGCCGGTCACACATTTCATCATGATATATGTATAAGAAGAAAATCTATAAATTTATTGAAGTCAAAGGTTGAGTTTAAATAAATATATGATTTCATTTGTATAATGAAGCATTAATTTTTATGAGAATATATTTAAGTTGAGTCCTTCAAATTTTATGATGATGATGATTAAATGACAATGAAACGCTAAAAGAGAGTATTTTTTTTTTATTAAAAAAATCAATTATTTAATCTTTATCTTTATTTGTAGGCCAAGAAATTAATTTTTATAAGTTATTTACCAATTTTTATATGTTTATTTACGGGAAGAAATTTTAAATTATCTATAAGTTATGAAATTAAATTTTTTTAAATTAATTGTTTATTTTTTATCTTTATTTGTAGACTATAAAATTAATTTTCAGTTTTTATATGTTTATCTATATAGAGGATTCTCATTCAAAGCCAACTAATTTCATTATTAATACTCGCCAATAATTTTTGTTTTTAATCTTTATCACTTGGTAAATAATAAGGAATAATAAAAATTATAAAGAGAAGGTTAAGAATTTAATAGGAGATAAGAAGTTATAGATAAGAGCATTTTATAAGATAAAAAATTTAAAATAAAAAAAGATAATATGTGATAGGAGAAAAAAAAATGAGTAAATCAAAATAAAGATTTAGATATATATGTTTTTGATAGATATATAGATTAACAAATCATATCTTTATCTAAATTTTATTATTTTAATTTTTTGAAGATCAATTATTTAATCTTTATCTTTATCTGTAGGCCGCGAACTTAATCTTTATAAATTATTTATCAATTTTTATATATTTATTTATCTATAAGTCATGAAATTAATTTTTTTAAATAATTTTTTAAAATTTTTATCTTTATCTATAAGTCATGAAATAAATTTTCGTAAATTATTTATGAATTTTTATACGTTTTTCTATAATGAAATTAATTAAAGTACAAAATGAATGGGGAAAAAATATGAGTAAATCAAAATGAAGATTTAGATATACATGTCTTTGATAGATATATAGATTAACAAATCATATCTTTATCTAAATTTTATTATTTTAAGTTTTTGTAAATCAATTATTTAATCTTTATCTTTATCTGTAGGCCACGAAATTAATCTTTACAAATTATTTATCAATTTTTTATATGTTTATTTACCTATAAGTCATGAAATTAATTTTTTAATTTTTTTATCTTTATCTATAGGTCATGAAATAAATTTTTATAAATTATTTATGAATTTTTATATGTTTATCTATAATGAAATTAATTAAATTACAAAATGAAGGGGGAAAAAGGAGTAATATTGTTTTCTTTTAAAAATTAATTATTTAATCTTTATCTTTATTTGTAGGCCATGAAATTAAGTTTTATAAGTTAATTATCTATAAGTTATGAAATTAATTTTTTTTAAATTAATTGTTTAATTTTTATTTTTATTTGTAGACTATAAAATTAATTTTCAGTTTTTATATGTTTATCTATATGGAGAAATTTTGAAATTCAAATATTTATCCATAAGTAATGAAATTAATTTTAATTTTAATTAATCAAGCAAATAGAAAATGAAGAAAAATAGAAAACATGAAAGGCAATCAAAGAAGGTTGCCACGTAAGAAAGAGAGAGTTTTAAAATTATGAGAATTCAGGAATAAATATTTGGAGGTTTTTGACAAAACAATTACATTTGGTTATATATACAAAATATAGATATAGATATAGATAGATAGATATAGATTTGAGAACTACTCTTTTTTGTTAGTGCCTAATACTTATGTGCTTATAAGTTTGGTTTTTACTTTTCCACGAGCATTCTTGTGAATAATTTATAATGTAATTTTTTTTCCAGTATTAAAAATTTTTATAATGCTTATATAAAAGGTTTTTTTTTTTCATATTTATAATGTTTATGTGTTTATAAGTTTGTTTGTTTGTTTATTTTTTTTTTTGAGAATTATTTTATGTATTGAAAAGTTTTTGAAATAATTTAATTTTTTTAGTTTATTTATTATTTATTATTTAGATTTACTTTGAGGATAATTTGAAAAAAATAATAAAATGTAATGGAAGTAAAATAAAATTTTAAATAATTAAAATAAGGTATACTTAAAAATTAATTATTAAAATAAGGTATACTTAAAAATTAATTAAAAATAATTAATAATTTTTTAGGTGTAAATAGAATCCCAATTTACACCAAAGTCGTTTATAGGGCTTCTTCTCCAGCCCAGCTCAACCCAGCCCAGCCCAACACAAACACCTCGGACGACAGCGATCTGTCAGTGACAGCTCAAGCTTTCAGTTCAGCCAATTCCCTCTCTTTACAGTAACCACCTCTCTCTCCTTCTCTCTCTTTCTTCGATGGACTTCTCTCCCACCTCTCGCCGGGCTCGCAGAGTACCCGCCAAGCCCGACATCTACTCCACCGTCGTCGTCCACGGCGACGAAGACGAACAACAACGCAAATCCACAAACCCCAAAGCCGGTGACGAAGAAGATCTATACGCAACCATGGTGCGTAAAAAAGACGATCAATTCGACGACGACTACGACGACGACGACGACGACGATTCCTCTCTCCCTCCCCTCCTCAAACGCCTCCCCAAAGACTTCGGCGTAATTGACGGCGACGACGACGATTCCGGCACCATCTCCGCCACAATGATCGTCAAAACCGATCGCTCCAATCGGAATCGATCGCCATGGAAGCCTCGCAGTGCGAATCAGGTGTCTCCGAGGAGGAGGAGATTCGAGGATGAGGATGACGAGGAGGATGATGATGAGAGAAGTGATTTCTCGACGTTCGTGATGAGATCTACGGTGAGAGATTGGGATGGTGGAGATTCGGGAACGGTGGTGAAGCGGACGAGCGGGAGCGGGAGCGGTGGCGGTGGTGGCGGTGGTTCGACGTTGAGTATGGCGGTGGCGAGTATGCAAGCGGTGGGGGAAGGGTTTGGGAATCAGAGGAAGGGGAGTAGTGGGAAGTCTTCTTGGCAGAATGAGGGAAGTAGGCATGGGCAACAACCGAGTCAAGTGTCTTCGAGCTCGATTCCCGAGTGTGTTATCAAGGAAGATCCTACTACCAAGTACGAATTGCTCAACGAACTCGGTAAATTTGTTTTTATCTCTCTTCTTCTTCGTTTGCTTTCGAATTCAAGCTCAATGTGACGTTTCGTGGTTTTCTTTTTATTTTTTTTCATCAAATTTGTTCAAGAACTTGGACCGAAAGCATCTCCAATCCTTCACCCTTTCTTTCACCAAATTTAAATTTGATGAAAAAGTTATAAAAAAATCATCTCCAAGTCTTTCATCAAATGTAAATCAAAGGTTTTTTTTTTTTAAAAATAAAATTTTGAATTTGATGGAAATTTAGCATTGGAGATTTTTTTTTCCCATCAAATTTGATGAAAAGTGAAATTTCGGATAAGAGGGGTATTTTTAAAAGGATTTTGATGAAAATTTGATGAAAGGATCGGAATCGTTCATACCAAATCAAGCTTTTTATTCAAATTTGGAATCAAATTAGATGAAGAAATTGGTGAAGGGTTGGATTGAGATGGACTCTAGCTAATTCATGTGGAAAAAAAAAAAAATCCCCCTCCATTCCTTATCTTTTAACAATATCATCGAACTTTAAGTGAAAAAAGGTGGTCAGAATTTGGTGAAAGATTTGATTCATACCTGATTTGATGAAGCATTTAGTGAAAACTTGATTTGATACAAGATTGATGAAATGATTGACCTCATTTTTTCCAAAATTTTCGTCAAATTTAAATTTGATGAAATACTGGAGATGTTCTGATCTGACATGTTCTCTAATAATTGTATGGCTATATTACTTCTGTTTGTTTGTAGTTCATGTGATTCTTGATTGTTGAGAGAGGTTGGTGTTTGGGAATTGCAGGGAAGGGCTCTTACGGTTCTGTTTATAAAGCTAGAGATATAAGAACTTCAGAATTGGTTGCTATTAAAGTGATATCATTGTGTGAAGGGGTAAGTACTATGTCATATATGTGTTATTGAGTTTGATAATTGATTGAGTTGGGTAGACGAAGTCAAGAATACTGCAATCTTGTATGCATTCAGGAGGAGGGGTATGAAGAAATTCGTGGAGAAATCGAGATGTTGCAGCAATGTAGTCATCCAAATGTTGTCCGCTACCTTGGAAGCTACCAGGGAGAAGAGTACCTTTGGGTGGGAACAACAGCATTCACTTTTATTGCTGGTTTACATTTATAGTTTTTTAATTAGTTTGGAAGTCTCAGTCAATTATTTATTTGTATTCATTTCTGGATGATTACATTTTGAGTTATACTTTTATCTGATCATGATATTTGGGAATTTTTAATATGATGGCAGATAGTAATGGAGTACTGTGGGGGTGGAAGTGTAGCTGACTTGATGAATGTTACTGATGAGCCTTTAGAGGAGAGCCAAATAGCTTTTATTTGTAGGGAAGCATTGAAGGTAATGTGGAATCTTATTTGATTATTGTTTAAAGGAATCATTTTGTGGAACCAAGATGTAGTTGTATATCTGATGAAATGCTGTTAATTGTCGAGGAGGGGAGAGGCTATAAACTATGGTTCATTTTCCTATATTTTCTTATGAAAGCCAGGCTTGCTTCACTACTTCTCTGCTTCATTTATCTGAGTAGTTTTAAGAAACCTTAACAAGATTGTAAGCTTAGTACTAGTGGGCCCCCTTCTTTTTCTTCCCCTTTACTGTCTCAGTTATACAAGGCCTTGGTTTCGAAATAATCAGATGATGATTTTTCATTGATATGATCTGGCCTTTAACTTTGCGCTGTGCTTGTTGGCCTAAACATCTATTCTGTTTGATGCAGGGTCTATCTTATTTGCACTCAATCTTTAAGGTACATAGAGATATTAAAGGTGGTAATATATTGTTGACAGAACAAGGAGAGGTCAAGTTGGGTGAGTGTTTTTTAAATTTTTCTCTGCTTCTTTAGTTGAATGAAGGATAGGAATTGATATAATCAATTCTGTGAAAAGTGATCTTTCCTTTTTAGGCTTGTTTTTAAATAGTGAATTTGTCATATTTTCCATTTCTTTTCTTTTAATAATATACCTATTCAAACTTTTCGTTTGATTTTGCTGATATTATGAGCAGGTGATTTTGGGGTTGCAGCACAACTAACAAGAACCATGTCCAAGCGTAACACGGTATGCTTATCAATTTAATATACAATAACTCATAGGTTTTGTTTAGCTAGTTTATGCTTTAAAATTTTTCTAGGGATCAGAATTTTTTCCACTGTAAGCATGGATAAGAAGTTCACACTAAATTAGTGAAGTTTTTTGTCACGCCCCTGACTCGCCCCTAAAAGTTTGGGCATGACCTACGCAGAACTAGTCACTTAACCTGATATATATATATATATATATATATAATTTAGGGGCCTGTATAGAAGCATTGATATCATAGGACAATTTATGAGAAAGTATGACTTCTATTGAGCTACTATTACCATGCCAGGATCACAGACGTAGTATAAAACGAATAGACATAAAGAGCTACATATGTGAGAGTTAGTTATAAACATATACATATACAGAACCTGCCCCATGGTTGGGCGTATAACAAAACATTATGTACATCTCAATCTAAGCCAAAAACTAAGGTGCAAGTCATAACTTAACAAAATACCACCAAAAATGTAAGGCTTTGACCCAGTGCCTGGCTACGCTTAGGCTGACAAAAAGGTGATGATGCCGGGCTTAGGACCGACCTCCTGGTTGGTTACCTACAGAAATAGACATAACATAGAGTGAGCCAGGCTCAGTGAACAATAGTACTTAAATGCATCAGTTACTTAATTAAAAATGTAACACACATAAAAGTGTAGCAATACAGAAATCATGTAGTAGTCTGATTCCGTTCAGGCAAACAGAACAATGCTGTCGGTTCACAACTTCACAGTTTGGCACTTGGCCTGAAGAGTTCACACATTCACAAATTAGCCCTTGGCTTTTTAATTTCTTCCTTGTTAAAATAATTCTTGAGTCATTACGCTTCAAATGAGTTTACAACCATCGAAAGATCATCAAAAATATTGTAAAAATAACAGAGGGTCGAGCACACAAAACAGAGCAGGTATTCTTTCCGACCTGGGCCGCATGTGCGGCAGCCCCCTCCGCACGAGCGGACATGGACTGCACGTGCGGTCCCCCTCCTTCGCACGAGCGGCCGTAGACAGTATGTAAACCCAGATTTTTCCCTCTTCTCTGCACGTGCGGCCAAGCCGCTATTTGGCAGTTCGAAATTTATACACAAAGCCAAGTTTTGGTGAGCAACAACAAGGTTCAAAGTAGGTCCTTTGATTACTAAACTATGGTTCAAATTCATGTATTTAGAAGGCATAAATACACAACAATCTAGATCTTAACTTCACAACTCAATTTGATTCATCAAAACTTTAAACTCATAACTACTTTAAACTTTAAACTCACATATGTAGATATATATCCATATAGCCATATATTTCTATACTTGGATTCAAACATGATAAATCAAGGAACAAAATAATCAAATGATAGATTGATCATATCAATTTTTCATCATAAACACACAAAATTTCCCTTACAACCCTTACAACTCAAAGACATACAACATCAAGGAATTCCTACTCCAAATAGAGGAAGAGGGTTGAGTTAAGGGAATTACACTTACCTTAAGCTTCAATTTCTCTAACCCTCTAATTTTAACCCAAATCACTTCCTTGTTGAGCTTTCCCGTTTTCTCCTTCTTTCCTTAATCTCCTAGCCTCTCCAGGAGATATTTACGAAATGGGTTTTTTCCAAATCAAGTGGTTATAGGCAAGAATGCATTGATAGACATAATAGGACGAAAATCATTCGTTTAATCATTCCGAAATTGAAATTTCGTAAACATGCTTAATATTACCTAAAAATTACGCTAATCGTCATTATAAAATCAATTTAAGATAATTAAGCCTCTATGGCTTCCAATTTCTAATTTAATATTATAATTGTAACAGATGCTTTTTCTTATTGAACAGATACAGGTTCGATTCATAAGACATATATATACTTAAACTTAATTTCTCATGTGGTTTCACATTAAACATTCGAAAGTACAAAATAAAGACTAAAATATAGCAGAATCACATACGAGGGTCAGGTTATTACACTCTCCCCCCCTTAAATAAGTTTGGTCCCTTAAACTTGTTTGTACCATGCGGATACTGGTGTTGTATATCCTCTTCCTTTTTCCAAGTAGTCTCGGTTCCATAATGTTCTTGCCATTCTACTTTTACCATTGGAATATCTCGATTGCGTAATTGTTTCACTTGCCGATCCAAAATTCGAAGTGGTTTTTCTTCATAGCTTAGCTTATCATCCAACACAATTTGGTGGTAGTCTATGACATGAGATGGATCTGACAGGTATCTTCGAAGCATAGAGACATGGAACACATTATGTACTTGGCTCATGCTCGGTGGGAGGGCTACTCGATAAGCTACCGGGCCCACTCTTTTCTTTCCAGAATTTGGAAGGGACCAACATACCGGGGTGTTAACTTATCCCTTTTTCCAAATCTCGGATGGCCTTTCAACGGTGTGACTTTCACGAACACATAACTACCCACTTCAAATTCCAAATCTCTTCGACGGTTATCCGCATAACTCTTTTGTCTGCTTTGAGCCGTTTTTAATCATTCCCGAATAATTTTCACCTTTTCCGTTGTTAATTGCACAATTTCAGGCCTTAGCAAAGAGCTATCCCCAACTTCAGTCCAACATACTGGGGAACGACATGGTCTCCCATATAAAGCTTCATAAGGTGCCATCTCAATACTCGAATGGTAACTATTGTTGTATGCAAATTCTACCAATGGTAGATGGGTTTCCCAACTGTCTTGAAAATCTAGCACACACATTCGGAGTATATCTTCTGAAGTTTGTATCGTTCTCTCGGATTGACCGTCGGTCTGAGGGTGAAAAGCTGTGCTGAATTTAAGTTCTGTATCCATAGCTTCCTACAGACTTTGCCAAAATCTTGAAACAAATTTGGGATCCCTATTCGACACGATTGAAACCGGAACGCCGTGAAGCCTTACAATTTCATTCACATAGAGTACTGCAAGCTTATCCGCATTATACTGAGTCTTCACTGGTAAGAAGTGAGTAGACTTAGTTAACCGGTCTACAATGACCCATATCGAATTCATGCCTCGAGGAGTCCGTGGTAACCCCACAACAAAATCCATGGTTAAATGTACCCACTTCCATTCCGGGATTGGAAGGGGTTGTAATAATCCTGCTGGTCTTTGATGTTCCGTTTTTACTTGCTGACATTGTAAACACTTAGAAACGAATTCCGCGATCTCCTTTTTCATACATGGCCATCAAAAATTTTGTCTCAAATCCCGGTACATTTTAGTACTTCCCGGATGTATTGAAAATCTTGAGGCATGTGCTTCTTCCATCAATTCCCGCTTAAGTTCCAACACATTAGGGACACATATTCTGTTTTGAAACTTGAGCACCGAATCCATTAAACTGAATCTCGGTTTTGGTTTTGTCTCTAACTCATCACATATCTTCCTTAAAGTATCATCCTCCATTTGATGCAACTTGATCTCTTCAAGTAAGGTCGGTTGAGCCATTACTGCTGCCATTATGACCTCCTGTCCACGTATCACATACTCCACATTCAGTTTATCTAACTCAATCACCAACTCCTTTTGTTCCGTAAATAAATTTGCCAAATCCCCCCTATTTTTCCGACCAAGTGCATCCGCGACCGTGTTGGCTTTACCAAGATGGTAATGGATCTGCAAATCATAATCCTTAAGCAACTCCAACCATCGCTGTTGTCGCAAATTCAACCCCATTTGGGTAAAAAGATATTTGAGACTTTTGTGGTCGGTATAGACTTCACAGGTTATGCCATAGAGATAGTGTCGCCATATCTTCAAAGCAAAAACTACTGCTGCTAGATCAAGGTCGTGTGGGATAATTTTTCTCGTGGGGTTTCAATTGTCGAGAGGAATAAGCGATAACCCTTCCATTCTGCATAAGTACACAACCAAGCCCTTTATGCGAAGCATCACTGTAAATTACAAATCCTTCGGTACCAGATGGTAAGGCCAGAACTGGTGCTGTAGTCAACTTTGTTTTCAGATCTTGGAAAGCAGACTCCCGCTCTTCTGACCATTCAAATGCAACTCCCTTTCGAGTCAATTGTGTAAGCGGCACAGCGATTTTGGAGAAATTCTGAACAAACCTCCTGTAATATCCAGCTAATCCCATGAAACTACGCACCTCAGTGACATTGGTAGGAGTTGGCCAATTCATAATCGCCTCAATTTTATGCGGATCAATAGAGACTCCTTCCTTTGTTACTACATGCCCCAGAAATGCCACCTCTTGTAGCCAGAATTTACATTTCTTTAACTTTGCATATAATTTCTTCTCCCGGAGTGTTTGAAGGATTAGGCGAAGATGATCCTCGTGAGCCTCTGCACTCTTTGAATATATAAGAATATCATCGATAAAGACCACCACAAACTCATCCAGGTAAGGTTTAAAGACGCGATTCATTAGATCCATAAATGCTGCCGGTGCGTTAGTAACTCCAAAGGGCATGACTAGAAATTCGTAATGGCCGTACCGAGTTCGAAAAGTTGTCTTCTCCACATCATCAGCTTTGACCTTCAATTGATGGTATCCAGACCGTAGATCAATTTTTGAGAAAACTTGTGCCCCTTGTAGTTTGGTCAAATAAATCGTCAATCCGTGGTAAGGGGTACTTGTTTTTGATTGTTACCTTATTAAGTTCCCTATAGTCAATACATAGCCGAAGTGTTCCGTCCTTCTTTTTCACAAATAAAACTGGCGTACCCCAAGGAGATACACTCGGTCGGATGAATCCCTTATCAAGGAAATCTTGTAATTGAATCTTTAACTCTTTCATTTCAGCGGGGGACATCCTATACGGCGTCTTAGAGATGGGTTGGGTTCCTGGCGCTACTTCAATTATAAACTCAATTTCGCGGTCTATCAACTGCCCTGGCAATTCTTCGAGAAAAACATCCGGAAATTCACGAACCATTGGAATCACATCAATACCCCCATTCAGCACTTGTTCTTCCAAAACACTACATAAATACCCCTGACATCCTTTGTGCATTAACTTAC